ATGATGGTCATACTGTCCCTAAATGTTGGCATTTTCTGGATAATAAGCACAAAATGTCCCCAACTTCTTTTTTCATAAACGTTTCTCCAAATCCTAATCTTGCCTGTAAGATGTGTGATGATGAATCAGCCGTGCAGTGTGTGGAATGGGTCTTGTGTGTGTTGATGGGAGAGCAACTGGTGATCTGCAGGTCCTCTGCCAGGTGGCAGTGGTTGCGGGTCCGGACAGCTGTGCGGTCACTCTTTTATAACCATTTCTTGGATACCACATATGTTGTGGATGTCTGCATGGAACCCATTTTCTGGATTGTGGACAACTTTACCAAGTTCCTGGGGCCGGTCAGTATTACATAGAAATGTCAAGTATTGTAACATATCAGGTTTCTGTATGTAAATTTGAAGAATGTTTTTGCTAAAAAAAAGTATGCATGTGTTTATGTGAATTCAATAGTGTCTATACATGACTCACTTGCTGTAACAATGGTTTAACCCAAATGTTTTTCATGAGATAAGTTTGTATTTTCAGATTCTCTTTTGAAATACATTGATACAGTTTCTATACAACTGTTATCGTATGATAAATTTCCTTTTTATGATAAATATGCAATTTATGATAAATTTGCAAATTACGCCATTAAATGTGTATGAAGATCCCCCAAAACCCTACTTCTTCTCACTAAAAATTAATGACGGACACATTTTGAATTGTACAATTGTTGCAGTAAGTTAGGGATAAATTACTTTTTAATTTTCTGACATTGCAAAAATATTTTCTCTATCATTAGTAACTGTTTCCATCAGAAAGCTCTTATGACCTCTCATTTTCCTATAAATAATTTTGGCACATCGTCATCTAACAACGCAAGGCTGAGTAACATATTAATTTTGGTAAATAGAGTAATAACACCACTTCAAAAACACATTTTAAAACTACTAATGATTTGTAGTCTTCACATGTGATTCAGTCTTACATAATGTGGTGTTTATGATTTCTTCTATTGGCAAGGATTGGAGTGCAGATAATTTCTTTGTATATTTAAAGAATATGTTGAAAATATCTAATTAATAGGGAAAGAATTTTTATTCCCTAAAAAATCATGAAACCTTTTCTTAAAAATACGCATTTATGACCTACAAGTTCTGAAATACGCATTTTAATTTGCAATAAAAATTAACGGTATTTCATTTTCTCTATGAAGCTTCCTTGATAAAATTCAGGTGAAGCATCCTGGAAATGAAAAGATCTATTTTTGTAGAAACATAATATAATCTACCGTCCTTCGCAGGAGAAATAATTGAAGTAAATATTCACCTTGGTGAAGTACATTGTATTTCTTGTTGCATTTCTTCTGCCTAGTTCAGAAATAGACATCAGGAAATATCCTACATTTGCACAAGTGTGTTATCAATAAAAAGGAAAATAATAATTTAAAAAATGGTGAACTGTTGCAATCAATGAATGCTCACAAATAATTGGATTCTATGAAAAGATTAAACATATTAGAGATGAGTGTCTATTTTAAGGAAATATGCAAGACATGCAGCTGAAATGACACGAATATGCACTAACAGGAAAAATTGGCCAAATATGCACTAACATATTAATCTAAATTGTATCCAATTCTATCCAAGTGCCAAGAAATTTCACTCGGCTATCTCCTGAAGTAACATACAAGAATATGCGAAATCATAGAAATCCACTCCTTACTAAGTAATATTGGCATTGCATGAATATGACATGAACTGTTAGTTTTTTAGACTTAGCATGTCTCAAAGTAGTGTTAGGGGGTAGAATATCGAGTGGCCATTACCAAGTCAAGTTTCTACCCAGTACCTCAATTTTACAATTTTCAAGGATTTTTGACACTAGCTAGAGAGCTAGGTTGAAGGAGAATTGTAGTGGGCCCCTGGTCTGATTGGTTGTTTTCCATTGTTTCCTCAATCAACACCGAGTGAATGCTGAAGCAGGACCCTAACAAATGGGTCTTGGGCCATGCACAATCTTTCCTGTCTCTTCCTTGTCCTATCCTCACTACGTACATTACACATGTACACTTACATGCACTACACTAACTCACATACCAGGAGACTGGTCGGGAGTTTTGAGCTTGTCCCCGCTGGAGTGGTGCGCAGCTGGTGGGATGGAGATGCCTAGTCAGGGAAAACCCTGCTAGTCAACACGTAGGTGGGTGCTGAATCTCACCATCCAGTGGGGGAAAATCACTGCAACCTTCGGAGGGGAAAACATTCATTACTCTTACAGGACTAATGACCTAGGAAGTTGATGTGCCTGGAATCATTAATCAGTCGATCAATCCAAGAATTTGAAGAAAACTATGAAAATGTTTTTAACTAGGGCCATTAAGGATGCTTTTATCCTACTGTCAAAACTGCTCTGCATTTCATGGTTTATACACCAACTTAGGGTTTTGTTGTTTTTTAATGCTTTCTCAAGGACGTATTGATCAGGGCCGGATTAACCCTTAAATAAAATGTATTCCATTATTCGATCCTTAATTTCACTTAGGAATTTAAAAAAAAGTTTTTTTTCTACTCAGAATGTGACTGCAAACATTTAAATATTTTGTGAGATGTAAGAATCATAATTTTGACCCATTTATAGTAACAAAAACATTTTTTTCTATCAATGTGATTGAAATGGACGTGTTTTGTATATAATACAGATAATATTGTGGATTTTCCTTGAAAACAATATTGGGGTATCTGTCTGCTCCAAGATTATTCCAGGTGTGAGGTTCATGGTAGAAATGGTTTTACCGTATCTTCATGTTTGTTGTACATAATATTTCAACTCAGTTAAACAATGTTTGTGTAGTGAACACTAATATAATAATACTATAATACTATAACATAATCTTCAACCATCCTGTCTTTAACCCTTCATCTGAATCTGTCATCTCCAGGCCTTCCATTTCATCCTCTACACTGTCTGCTCATTACTATCAACTATATCTTAATTCTGGCAACCTCATGTCTACCTCAGCCCTTACATTTTGTATCCCCACTTGTACAGTAGTTCTTAAAACTTCTGGAAATTTCATATCATATTATCTTGACTTATTTTTTCAGCAAATAAATGATAATTAGAAGACTTCTTTTAATAAAAAAAATTCTAATAATGATGTACAAGTTGTCATGAATCAATTTTTAATTAAACTTTTTGTAGTTAGTCTTGAAAATATTCAAATTTCTTTTTGGCTCAAAAATGGTTTTTGAATTCTCCTTTTTGTGAAAAGAAATAAACACATTTGCTTTTGTTTTGTCTTTCTTGACATTTAACGGATTATATTACTTTAAATAACTTAAACTGGATTAAAAGACAAAACCATGAAATTACAGAAAGCTGCCGTGTTAATATAAATTTAATTAGAATGAAGTATCTTCCATTAACAAAATCCAAACATCTTTTAATTAGTAGATTTCATTCAATGCAATGCTATATTGAACACTTAGCAATATTTTTTATGTTTAGCGTCTTAAAAAAAAAATTAAAAGTCAATATTGTTTTGCTATAAAATTTTATAGATGATTTTTATTGATTTAATTGTTAACTTATAATTAATCAAAATATAAACCTGGTTATTGAGAAACAACTGGCTACTGCATGACATGTGGGAGGGATATTTACTTTCTGGAAATGTATACTGCTGAATTATCATTCAATATTAGAAGATGTATCTACTTGCCATATATTTAAAATTCATTATTGGTGTATTTTAATAATTTTTTTGTGCTATCTTATTTTTCATGTTTTGGTAATGTTAATTACATAAATACATTGTTCCTTTTTAATTCTTAACCCAAGTATGAAAATCATTGAATCATTTTGATACTTTTCATTTTTAAATGTTTTTTATTTTATATTCTACAATATCTGAATAGTCTCATTTACATTAATGAATGATGCACATAAGTTGAACAAACAGTATAGAATAATTTGAAAATTAATTTTTTCTCTTATAAATGTGCATAAGTAGATAACAGTTTTGATTGTTTTCAAACGGTCTAAAACTCCCTTCCCCAAGATTATGCAGTTTTGAAAATAAATTGATTGGTGATGTACTTATTGTCACAGTGTGTATCAGGAAGATACTTAAAAATAAAAATAAAAAATTTCCTTTGGTGAAGTTTTTCTGATTTTCAACATAGTACGGCTTACTTTTGCCTGACAGTTCTTTGTAGTGGCGGTGTGTGCATTGACGGCCTCAGTAGTGGTCATCGCCTATTGGATTGGTATCCCGCACTGGTGGGCCCGGAGTCCTACTGCCACAGTGGTGCTAATGGTGGTGGGTCACTGGCTGCTGGTGAACATCTGCTTCCACTACTACATGGGCACTGTCACCCCACCAGGATTCCCTCCAGAGGGCTCGCTTATCCCTGAAGCTGCCAGCATCTGCAAGAAGTGTATCGCCCCCAAGCCACCGCGAACTCACCACTGCTCTGTGTGCAATCGTTGTATTCTAAAAATGGACCATCACTGCCGTATCCTTCCCTTTTGCAATGTTATTTTATAGTTCATGGAGTAATTTTGATTTGTTGTTGAATGTCCTTATTTGGTTAAGATGCTGCTATTGTTTGTCCTGATGAGAATAATGATTCTTGAATGATATAATATAAATTATCTAAGTTTTCTGTCTTTTTAGCTTTGCAATTTTCTGAGGGTTATGATGGTGCTTAAGATACACTTTTTATCCAAACGCAAACCTGATTATTTTATCAATAACTTGTGTTATCACAGCGCATATCAGAACAAGAGTATTTTTATTGCCCTTTTGTTACAAATTTCAAATTGAAATTCTTTTTTAGTTTCAAGTGAGACTTTTTTTAAACAAAATTTCAATTGTCTCTTCAAATGCTACTTCATCTGATTTGGTAAGTTTATTTGTATCTACTTCTGTAGTTGCTTGTGTTGTGCATCTCTCGATCTGTAAGTGGCTGTTAAAATATTTTTTATCAGCCACGGATATGAGCAACAAGAGGGAGACAAACTGTAACTTCAAGGGAAAATCATTAATTGATCCTATTTACAGAAGTAAAATGTTTTATGACATAGAGCCACAGACTCTTTTCGAATTTTGCAGGAGAGCAAAGGCTCACCGGGCCTCCCTGTGTCCACACCTATGTTATCACCTTGTTCTTTGGTTTTGTTGCAGAAAAATGTATATTCAATTTACTAGCCATTGTAGAAATTCATGCTACTTTAAAGAGATGCATTAATTTCACTTGCTGACAGAATTTCAATTTTACTCAAAAAGAACAATATAAGGAAAACAATTTATTGAAGATCTCATTGAAAAATCAGAGATGATAATTGTTGCAAATAGAATTATTTTTAATATATTTACAAGTATAACTTTATTGAAAAAGTGTTTTTGGATTTGGAATTATTTTCTTTTAACTTTTCAAGAAGGTTTAAAAGTCAGAGATCTATAAATAACACCTTTTATTTATGACTAGTGGCCTGTAGCAACAAAAGTGCTGCTGAATAATACCACACTCAATGGTTTTCCAAAAAGTAGGATGCACACTGCTCAAGAACAACAATTAAAATATTCTATAATAACACTGCAACAAATTGAATATTTTAATGAAAATGATATTCTTGAATTCGGCAATAACATAGTACAGTATATTATACAGTACAACATTTCTTTACATACCAAGGATATTAAAATAATTCGTGTTCCATAATGCTGCATGTAAATTCTAGCAAAAATTTAATGGCCTGTATTGGTGGTAATATTAGATGTCCTCTTTGTTGGAGAATCTTTGTCACATGATGTCAACTGTGTTGTAAGTAGTGATGCTCAGGGTATGAGAATTCAGCCAGTATGTGCAGAATGAGAATAATCAGAATAATACAATCAAATATTTGTATTTTGCAGTGAAAATCAAACCTGTTTCATTATTTTTGTATTTTTCTCACAGTTTCTACATATCTAACAAAACTGTACACACCTCTCACATGGCTGTAGGCTTTGTACTTTGCAGTTAATTTCTGCACACATTGGAAATTAGTAATATAAATTCAGTAAAATCTGCCTAAGCTGGAATTGATCAGCAAAATGCACCGGTTTATGGAAGTTTCCATTTTATGCAGGGTTGTCTATTTTATGACACTTGTTATATTGATATTTTCATCCTGAAACTAGTAAAGTAAATGATGTAATAATAATTATAAAATGATATTCACACATAATGTATTTATTGAAAAACTCAGCAATAAATTAATATTAAACATATTTCTGACAATTGAAAGGAAAATCTATTCCTAAGGTATTAAGTTATTAAAGGGATGGAATTCTTTATCAGCTAACTTGATTGCGCAATCTCCTATATTATAAATAATTCGAAGTTTGGTCTTCATACTATTAATTAAGACAGACTAAAAGGTGGAGATATAATATTTAGAGTTTTATGTTTTTTGCAACCATTCTTAATCTGATTGTGAAACTCATAAACATACACCATCTCGCTGTGTGGCTGCAGCTGGACTCCTTGTCACCTCTTCAACACACAATGCATTGCAGCCCAGAGAGATATACCCTTCTTGACTCATTTCCATGTAGTAGCTACCTGTAGCTGTGTGAGAGTTGGTTGCATTCTACTTCGAGCAGATGTATCATAATTTAGACAAAAACTACTGGTATGTCTTATTTTCCTTCTTGTCTCAATGACTTCTACAATTTTTATTATAAAATATCATTTAATTAATATTTAAAAAAAGAAACAATCAAAAATGAAAAATAATATCTTTATTGTGATTTAAGGTATGACGGTTCTCAGGACCCACCTTCTTCACCAGTTATATAAGAAAAATGCAGGTACTCAGTTCATTGAGTTGATAGTAATGGAATTGCACGGAAACTAATGATATATTTTAAGGTTAATCTGAGCATAAGATTTGAAGCTATTTTGAAAATTATAATTTGATTCTTTTGATCTAATTGGAGTGTAAATGTAGCATTTATCTTCCTCTTAAGTGTTAGATTCTGTGTTTAGGTTTTAAATGTAATTCAAATAATAATTAAATTCATTATGTAGATTTGTTATGAAATATTACCGTTTGAGTATATTCTAGATTTGAATTTTTGTTTGCGCTGATTCTTACAGTATTTATATTTGGCAGTGTTAATTTTCCTAGACCATTGCATTTATCTTCGATGTTATTTTACAATTTTTTATTGTTTTGTACTGAAGTAAAAAGATTATAAATGATGTACATCTATTGACTTTGGATGATCTTAAATTTTCTTGAATCTTGAATTTTTGTTTGCGCTGATTCTTACAGTGAATAAGTCAATCTTAAAGTCAATCTTAATGAAACTGATAGCTGTGACATAATTAGAATTATTAGAATACAAATGTTCTAATATTTTCATTATTAACATTAGTATTAAAACACAAGTGTCTTAAAATTCATGGTTTCCTATTAACTACTTTCAATGTCAGTCTGTCACCTTTTGCAGGATGAATAGTCAAATTTAAGCAAATTACAGTTCATTGAAATATTAACAAAGTGAATAAAACATTCTATGGTATTTATTTTGTAACATCTTATTATGTTTCTTAATTAGTTAATGAAATAAGCCCAATGACCTTGTTTGATAATTCTCCTATCTCGTATTGTTATATAATACTTATGATACTTGTATGGTAAATTACTGTTGTGTCATTCATATTACGCATAATTTTGTATCTTAATTCCTTAATGCAAAAGTTTAAAAATATTATTTATAGTTGTCTGATGACTTCTTCTTCGAGATTGCCAATATGAACTTCTGCTTTCAAATGACCTCTGATCTTATTATATTGACCATAAACTGGACTGTTTCAAGTCATAGCTTCCATAGTTGTAGCAAACAGTTACATTTTTTTTGGCTTATAGTCATTATAGTTATTGGTGTTGCCAGCCACAAATTATTGGGATGGGGAGGATGATTCAGTAGGTACCAACATAAGTAGAGATTACTGGGGAGCCCCCTTGATATTGAAAAATCAAAGTTTAAAAACAAATTCTGAGGGATTCCTAATGGTGTTAATATACTTTCAAATTGTAATATAGGCCAATTAAGTTTGAAATTATGTATGATGAGTGTAAATAAATGTACATTATTTTTTCAGTAATCAGTAAACTTATATTTGTCAAATATTAAAAATAAATATATCTACTTTTGTTATCAAAAAACAGGCTTAACAAACTAAGATCAATCACGTTATAGAGAGTTGTAGAACCCATGTTCTCATACTCCATGACCCACTATCTACATTTTTAATTTCTAGTGCATGCAGAAATTGATGGAAAACTAGGCAGTTCCCGGGCATATGAGAGGTGTCTATGATTTTGTGAAATACCCAGGAAATCATGAAAAATAAAACAATGAAATAGTTCCCGTTTTAGCTGAAAAAGTGGAAATATTTGAGACCAGAGGCGATCCTCTATTTAATATTGGCTCTTCATTACATAGTAAAATATACGATACTTTGTCATTGCAGTATTCATGAAGACTGTTTTTTTAAAAATATTTAATTTGTTACAGTGTTATACAAGAGTATTTTATTTGTTGTTATTAAGCAGTGTGTGTCCTAGTTTTTGAAAACCTGTTTTATGTGGTTTTGTTCGAACACATAAAACAAACTGAAGTGTTTTTGCTGCTGCTAGCCACTAGTTAACAACAGTAATAAGTTCTACAACAATCATTAACTATAAAAAAAATGCTCTTATATTATGGGACCGTCTATGAACAATTATGAACATTATTGTCACATTTTACAGGATAAATAGCAATATTTAACTGAAAATTACACAAAGAATGGAATGGATGTTGGAATGTTTACAAAGTGGAAGAATGTTGTACTATATTAATTTTGTAACAACTTATTACATCCTCGATTGGTTGCCAAGCTTGTTTTGTAAGAAGGCGTTTTGAGTATACTTTTTTAACGTAAAACCCAACCATAGGTATCATTGTAGCTTGTAGTGATCCAAATATATTTTCCTTGTTGTCAAAATCAGGTATAAATATTCTGGCAGCATTTCTTAAATCTATTTGGCCCAACAGTAACTTGTACTTTGGACTAGCCACATGATTGAATCTCTACGGTGTTATTGTGGAATGCAAATGGTTCTTGTTGTCGCAGAGTAATTTACTAAAACTATGCTCAGCTTTGCAACTTGAAGCTGGGCACAAACGCATTTGTTTCACCAATGCATCAACATAACATTGATGAATTGATGAATAATTCTCGAACTTTTTCGATAGAAACTTCTCCTTTCAATGAACCTTCTCCGCTACTTTCGCGAAGAAAACAAAGTCTGGAGGTGTCCTAAAACTGTTTTGGAGGGTTCCCCCTCTTCGCACCACGGGTTGCCATTGTCGTTCGAAGTTGGGTTGCAGTAAGCAGCTATTTTCGTTTCACAATAATTATTTTTTTAAACAGTGTGTGTTCGTCTGCGGCACAGCACGGCGGTACGCCCCTTAACTCTCAGAGCAGCGTGGCTGAACAACTGCGTGGGCCACTCCAACCACCGCTACTTCTTCCTGTACATGGTGTACGTGGTGGCCGGCGTGCTGTTCCTCATGGTGTTCGGCGTGCAGCTGGCCTACGAGGAGGTGTGGCTGGCCGAGGAGGAGGAACCGCCCATCGAGGGGCACCCGGTGCGCGTCAACGACACCATGCTCATCCCCGTGGTGAGTGCCCGCGACTTCTCCTCGCCCGCCGCGCTTCCCGCGAGGCCGCCACGACAATCCCCCTTCGCTGAGCGCTCTCGACCAAGATGAGAATACCCCCGGAAGCGGGATTGGAACTGCGGTCCGGTTGAGATAAGTAGACAAGTACTACACTCGCAAAGAGCGGCGGTCGCAGAAGCCTCACCCCCTTCCAAATCCCAAATCAATCAATCTGGTCCTCAAAACGTTTCAGAGAAATCTGTTATTGTTTTTTTGCTTGCAAGAAGGAAAACAAAATATAGACATGCATTACATTGGGTGAGAGTATTCCTTTATAGACGTACCGCTAAAAATCTCGAAGGCGGAACTTGTCGCGCGAAGCGTAGGAAAAGCGTGTGTTCCAAACTTCGTGTGTTCGTGTCGCGAATTGGCGAGACGGTGGGCGAGGCCGAGAGTTATTGGGGCTATGGAGTGGTAGACGGGTCTCTTTCAATTAACCCGCCGAACTGGCGCAGGCTTGCTCGAAGAGCAACAGCAGTCCCCAATCCATGCTGAATGAATACTGTCGGTCGACAGCCGTTGGTTTCGACAGTATTGTCAGAATTTTAGCGCATACGCAGTGGAAAGTTTTTGTTTTTACCCAACAGGATTCTTCTATAAACACACCTATTGGCCTTTATCGACAAAATTACTTGGCCGATCGTTTTAGAGTCTAGACTCAATTGCAAAGACTCCAGATAGGATTTTACATTAATCCACGACCGGACCGGCCCTCTCCAAATCCGATCCGCCTGAAATCTACTTCCTTTGCTTGAGAGATGCCATGGCATTTCCAACATAAATCACAGCACCCAAGTAAGCGTGACGTTAGCTGTAGAGTGCGGCGTTTGAATTACTTGTTTCAATCGGACCGTAACGGAGCGGGCGATGATTCGGATCGCTTGCCACTTCCCATTTGAACACTGTTTTTGGACATAAGGTTTCTTCCCTGGCCTTCTTTAACTCTTCGGAGTCTTTATTTTCAAGACTCCTTCGAAATAGTTTTAGATCGAGAATTTCAAAAAATGTTTCTTAGGTGATGCGTTCTATCACGGAGAGAGGCAGTGGATTTCTACCATTGCATCTTTAGAATTGAACAGAGATGCCTACGCGAAAAGGCGTCAAAATCTGGGGGCAAAACCAAACGCTATGGACAATTATAAATGACGTCAAGGGAAAGTGGAAGGTTGAGTTTATAGTGTCTCCATCATTGAAGTCACGTTTTAATATACGAAAAATGCAACTTGCCTTCTGCACGTGTTGAACTGATTAAGATTAAATCAATGCTTGAACATAGATTTCAAGCAATGAAGAATTTATTGTAATGTTGAACAACATAATACTGTCACAATTTCACATATATGAGCTCCAATTTTCGTAACATTCAGTCTGTCAAACTATCATTCATTATAAGAACTGGGATCAATGATGAGTAAAGTTTCTCTGGAAACGTAAAGAACATTGTTACTTTAAGCAAATATAGTAGTTAAATGTAAGCGTCACGTTCATGTTTGTTTAGTAAATACAATAACAAATCCAATAACAAAACATGCAGTGGAAAAGTGAAAACTCACTTAAGCATTCCTCGATGTCGTCCAACGAGTATAAAAGGCGAAGCGCTGATCTGTGATCTGTGTAGTGTCGAGCCGGTCTTCTGATGGCCCCTCTCTTCCTCCAACAGGGAACTATATCATGTGTGATGATTTCTACTCAGACCTGCAACGTTTTTTACTATATATTCCGTCTTAAACGACTGCTTCAGTCGTTGATGTGGCCAGTTAAACCGTCGTTCCCTTAATGGCACTAAAACGAACTCTTGAACTCATCAGCACTCATTGTAGACACTAATACCATTTGCACATTGAACCTCGACCAGATTGGCACCCATTAATTTCAGTCCGTTTGGACCTTGTTTCTCAACCATGTATCACATCCGGTCGTATTCCATCCATAATCATTCATATCTCATCATCAATCCTTCATGACCACCTCTATAATCAGACATCCAGTGGAATGGCAAGCCACCCCTATGATCGTCTGCTTAGATAAGGGGATGTTTAAAGACGTCAGTCTCCTTCCTACCCTGCGCCCAGTAACCGAGCGTGGTACTTCGTGCGTGGTAATCATCGTAAATTGAACAATAATATTGTGTTCGGGGCGCATTCAAATCTTGGTCGAAGCCAATTGTAACTCGCACGTTCAATTTTCGTGATAAGACGTTGCATATTTTTAATTTAATATGCTAAAAACATGCTCCAGGTGCATGGGAGATATATTGTTAGGAGATGTTACTGACATTTTATTTACTAAACTTTAGTTGAATTTCTTGTGTGAAAAAACTACAACAGCATGACTTTTTCTCGTGGTCGAAAAGTGTTATTGTTGTCCTGGAAATACTTCATTGATGCTCTTGGTGCAGTTATAAGGCAAAACAAAGACACGTGAGAATGAGTCACTTTCATGTTGTGATGTGTATAAAATACGTGCTTATTGTGAGTCGTTATTAAATAATTTTTATTTCAAGTTCTTGCTTATGCTCGAATTTACCATGAGAGGAAACTACGCATCCATTCAAAGAGGACGAATTCTCATTACTGGAAACATCACTTCAAAGAAATGACTATATCGAGCACTGCTTCTACAGTTGAAGATATTGACTCGTACTTTTGCAACGTATGGAAGGCATATAATTTACGTGGCTCTTAATTATCGCTTTATTCTATAAGTATCCGCTTGCGGATGTAAGGATGCGCTTCTATATTCATAGAGGTTGGTAAGGATCATTTTTCAACAGACTGAATGGTATATTAATTCTCGAAATAGAGGATGGATTGCCTTTGTAAAACATTTTGTTTTGTTTTGTTTGTAAAGCAAGGAATGAAATAAATTTCTCAAGTATCTGCGTGATTTTTATACGTGTTAAACGTTCGATATTTTCTAATTTTATGGTTCGGGCAAAATCGCTTCGCTTTATTTGCTCTCCTCATGAACGATATTCTTGCTGAATATCTGATGTCATATGAATTGTCATTGTGACTTAGTTTAGACATAGCATTTGTTTGCCCATAGGCACATGTCCTGTCCTCGAACATTGCACATCCCGCGGTGAGTACTGAAATTTTCTTCACAAGCAACTCTAGATGATCCACAGGTTGCTGTAGAAACCGAGGTAGAGGTGGAGTTAGAAGGACCGAATAGATAGCTTCAGAAGATAGTGAGAATGTTGCCATTTATCGAGCCCTGCATTGAAAAGTGACATAGTGCAAAATTGGTGCATTTGGAGTTTTTGTCAAAAATTTGTCATCTCTTTTGTAGAAATATATAGCAGTAGTTGAAATAATGCTCGTTAGAATGCTCACAAAATATATTCGCAAGATATAGATAAGAACACGTCAGCATGATTTGATTGTGACTTGTGTACGTTCTTCTGGAAGGCTTCATGAGTGCTTTCAGCGTCACTGCATTGCCTCTAAAGGTAGAAAACATTAGCCCAGGCATTTTAGGTAATATGTAGCTGATATCCGGGAACAGCTCCACATAAGCCGAAAACTTGCACAGGGAATGTTCTTACCTAGTTACACAAAAATTGAATTTTTACATTTCTTGCATTATGTCATTGATCCATATCCTCGAACGAAGCGAGTATGTATAAAACAATAGAGATAATCTTGTAAGATGTTAGTCGAGCTGGCCAGTTGAGTTTTTGTTTACTTCGAAGCTCTCTTAGCCCACTAGACATAAATATGTAATGTTTCCTGATTTTCAATGAAGGCGGAAATCATTATTGCATGTGCTAGAATCACTTAGGCAGTGGTTCCTCAAATGACTCATTAGAGTTAAAGGGGAAAAAGGTAGGCCTACTCAGAATTGCATATCAGGTTGAAAACTTTTGTAGTACAATATCCTGTTTTTACAGAAATGTATGCAAGTTTTATCTTACTTTTCCCTTTGGAGGAGTTGCAAATTGGGAACATTTGAGGGACTGGTGGAGGACATGTACAAATCCTTCAAAAATAAAGCCAAAATCAGTAATGAGGAATTGAAGTTACATACATGTACATGATGTGTGGGGTTTTAGGGGTGACAATTGTGGAGCGATAAACATGTGCGAGAAACTCCTAAAATTTAATTCAAACGTGTAACTGGGAGGCAAAGAAACCAAACATCTTTCCGCTTTAATCTTCCTTTCTCGAGTAGCTATTTTTGTTCTGGATTTGTATTTGGTTCGAAACGCTTGAGTAGTTGATATCAAGAACGACATGTTTGCGCTGTGTCACTTCTTCGTAGAGGGCCCGACATTCGCTCCGCGGCCGTGCGCCGCCGCCCGTGCTAACGCGCTCCCGCCCCCGCGTTCCCTTGCGCAGACGGAGATGAACGTGAACGCGTCGCTGGAGGCGGTGCCGCCCCCGCCCGCGCGCTCGCTGCGCCGCAACTGCATCATCTACATGGCCTTCATCACCAGCGGTGAGTCTTCCTTTTGTGTTCTTGTTTTTTTATTACTCTTTTTCGCAACGCGTCTCGTGGGCACTCTAAGTATCGTAATGCGGACTTGACGCCCTTCAATGCCACTGTTGGAACATCATTTCAGTTGTATCGTCTTCATCACTCATCAATAAGGTCCCCATTCACGTGTCCGCTACCTCCACCTCAGGGGAAACGTCTTCGATGAGGGCCTTTGGCCGACGATATTTTTTCCAGGACGTATATTTCCTACTTTAGCCCAGGTTGCCTACTAAGCCTGTATACATACACGCACAGTCGACTCCAGTTGTGGTGAACAGGGAAATAGGGAACTCTCACATGAACTGAAGTCTCTGGTCCCGTTTCACTTACATTGCACATACTCACAAGATTCGGTTAAGATGAACTCTGGACCTGGGCTATAGTAGGAAATATACGACCTGGAAATTAATTCCTTGCTGGAAAAAATTTCGTCGGCCAAAGGCCCTCATCGAAGACGTCTCCCCTGAGGTGGAGGTAGCGGACACGTGAATGGGGACCTTATTGATGAGTGATGAAGACGATACAACTGAAATGATGTTCCAACAGTGGCATTGAAGGGCGTCAAGTCCGTTTTACGATATTTAGAGACAGTGGACAATGAAGACTAAGTATGGAGAGAGCCGGAACTCTGTAGAAGGATCTAGAGAAATTATTCATGAAAAATCAGAGACGCAGCCAACAATTGAAAATAATTTATTTTTTAATGTCAAATAATATTGAAATTTTCAGTTCATTGTGTTATTGTATTTTGCGGTATATCTGTACTTGCCTGAATTGTTATTTTAAAATGTTCATTACACCAATGTTCATTAGACCACACATAATTTTAAAATAAGATTTTTTCCCCTCGGCATTTTGAAATGTACATGGTGACACCTTTTAGGATGTTGTGAAAAATTACATGGAATTCTAATTGCGCTACTGCAACATTTTTGGATGAAAGTTGAACACTACGGATTCGTGAAGAGTGCTCTTACGGGCACGTCAGGCAGATAACGGTTCAAAGCAATCTCGTGGAGAAATTCTCTTTAATTTTGCCATCATCGGACCTGTGAACCAAAAATGGGGGCTTTGTGTAAGTACTCCCAACATTTAAAGAAGGTTTTTCAAAATCGCAAATCTTAGAGTTGGACCAGATCGACCGCGAAATATTAATTTAGGAAAATATCCTACAAATAATTTAGGCAGTAGTCTGCTTGTTCAGAAATATATTTTCGTGACTCTTGTAGATTACGACACCTGACCGAAGCTGCAATGCTAAAATTTGTATAGTGTGAACCCACATTTGAGGTGCCTGCATATGCGTAGTGCTTCCTACGGAAAATTCCAGAAATGTGTTTCCAGGAAGAAAGAAAGAAAGCGAGGCGACGCAATGAGTCGCAAATACATTTCGTTAATGTATTCTTAGAAGCTTCCTCGCATTGTCGCAGTTGGCTTTCTTGGACAGCGTGAACGTCAGCGCCGTCCCCATTTGCACGCACCTCCACGCGCGCGCGTCCGCACGCACGCGGGGGGGCCGTAACGAGCAGCCGTGGGCAGGCTCCTCTAGTCTGCGAGTCCAACTTCCCTACCTTCGCTACAGGAAGAGGATGGCAACGTTGCGTTGCGGCCACACTTGGCCAGTAGGGAAGCGACTTCGATGTCGATGTTTTCGAAACATCGATGTTTTAAACATCAATGTATTAACACCGATGCTTTTTTGACATCGATGTTTTGTGATTTTTTTTCTTCAGATGTAAAGTTTCTGAGTGAAGACTTGCCATGATTACAACACTACAAAAGTTAAAATATGAAATAATTTAAAGTAACACAGAATAATGATTCAAGGCCCGAGTCGGGACCAGTAGCTACGAGGGGATGGGCCGAAGGGCCTCGTCGGCGTAGAGTTGACGGAGCGTAAGGGGCCCTCCTCATTGGCAGGAGTTCACAGAAGACCCTGGTAGATCCTTCAGGCACTGATAGATCGCTGCCGGGGGAAGGGGTTTGGGCATTGTTGGAAGGTAGCCCCGACCGAAAAGCAAAGGCAAATTATCTACTTTTATATGTACAGGCTATTTCAATATATCAAATTTATAAATTATAAAGGCTTCAGTTTTATTTTTTTTTACTCATTTTGATTTCTCTTCCTCAATATGTCTGTACTGATGCAGAGGGTGGGCATAATTCATAGAGTTTATGGCCCCTTTAAATATTATTTCAGATTTACACCTGTCAGGAGGCACATGTGTAATTGTCACTCAACTCATTATCATTACGTCACTCGCATTGTCTTCCGAGAATGCCAACATTCAATTACCCGGCGGATATCAGGGTCAATGTAAAAAAATTACAGCAATGATGACAAAAGCAGTAGCTTCAGCTGCCACAAAAAGTTTAATTTTCGTAGTAGAAGATGGTGTGCCGCGCACGCGGTGCAGTTGTGGCTTCCAAGTCTGAAAGGTTGCATTTCTTTCAATAATACGCAGCGTTTGTGCTGTTTGTAGCAACGTTCGCTGGTAAGCCCACCATCTCAGTAGATTCCACATTCTGCTCAATTGCACCGCCTACGCTGATCTCTTGCCTTTCGATACCCGATTTGCGTCGGCGCAACGCGTGCGTTTGGAGCTCAAAGTTGCCGTGAATGTCGGTAATTTCATCTGTACTTGTGGCGCTACCGAGAGCTGCGGCGGGCGTTGGTCCGCGGCGTAGGACGTGTGTGTGTGTGTGTGTGTGTGTGTGTGTTGTGAGTGATTTGGGGTGTGCGTGCGCAGGCGTGTTCGTGGCGCTGGGGTCGCTCTCGCTGTGGCACGCGCGCCTCATCGGGCGCGGCGAGACCAGCATCGAGGCCAACATCAACAAGGCGGAGACGAAGCGGCTGGCGGCGCGGAACAAGGTGAGTCGCAGCTCCTCTTGGGCTCGTTTCTCCTCTCCTCACCCGTCTTCCCGTCCCCCTCCCCCTCCCCCTTCCCATTCCCATTCCTCTTTCGCTTCATTTTCATTGGCGTGTTCTTCCTTTATATACCCTTGTGCTTCTCTTTTACTCTGTTTCGTCGTGATTGCTCCTGCTTCTTCTTGTCCTCTTGTGCGTCTTCTTCCTTTCTCTCTGCTTCTCCGTCCTTCTACACTTTTTCATCGTTCTTTCCTTTCTATGCAACTTTATGCTTTTCTTCTAACCCCCTCGTCTTTCTTTATTCTCTTTCCTTCTTCTCTACTTGTTTTTCTTCTGCTTTTTCATTCATTATTTTATGCTACGTTTATTGTAAACTAATGTCAACTATAGACCTTACAGGTCTTTCAACACGGGTGGCCAAACTTTCAAAATTGTATTCTGTGAGAATAAGCCATACAATTCATGTCAGAACGTGTCTGCTAGTACATGTCGTAGATCCTTGAATAACATGCTCAATGACCCGGACTCGGATACCAATCAGTTATGATATCATTCAGTCGTGTGTTCCACAAAACTGTCGCGTGTTTGAGTGAAAAGCAGAAATTAGTACTTTTGCTAGCCAAATTTCGCGCTAAATTGTAAGGTGTATATTTATTTCCTAATAATTTCGGAATAAATTTAGCCATCAGCTTGGGAATATTTCGTTTCATACTAAATCTCAAAATTCTCAATTCTCCATGCTACATCTGAAGAGAGCCTACGCGTTTGGTAAATCTTTGAAAGTAAACGAATGTGGGAGGCAAATACTGAAACATACCCTCTATTTTCGGAGGGGATTCCTAACTACTATCAAGCGTTGCTTGTTACTTTTTTCAGCATTCTGTAACATTAATTTGAATCCTTGTGGGAATGTACATGGCGTACTCTACTTTCTCGGACACTCTGCCCTCAAACCTTTGTATATCTCTTTGCTGAGTTTCTGATTTGTAAACTCGGGTATTTCACGGGATGGCTAATTTATAGCTTCCATCACAGAGGCCAGCACTAACGAGTAAGAAATGAATCAGCTTTAAATGTTAATGTGCTCCAAAAGACAAGATGGTACCATATTCCATTTTGCCCTCTTTTCCTCAAGCGTCATGAGCCAGCACATACAGGGCTACTTTGTGGACCACGTTATTCATGCAAAGCAAATAACGTGCCGCTTAGGATCGTCTTGGCGTTTTAGTTTTCTTTGTTTGGAATGTGTTCTCCCCAGGAAAGATGTCACGATCTGCTTACATAGGAAGCAGGTGAAGTCATAGTGAAGGTTTGTGTCTTCGAGCGTATTTGTTGTGTTCTACTTCAGAATTGAAAAAATAGCAAGAATTATTTTGTTGGGAAAATTACCGGATTTAGAGAATCAGCAAAGATGAGTATTTTGGCACAATTCGCACATTCGAGTCAAAACGTCTACCTCCATCTTCTAGCCAAAACATTTACATCGTCTCCAAATGCTGTCATTAAATATTTTAATTTGTGTAAAGTAGTTTATCGAAGAATACCATTTTATTTATGTTTCGCGCCAAAAATGTCAATTACTTGGGGACCACCCTTGTCTTGGAATGAAGTCGGAGATAGTTAAGATTGTGGTTGGGGAGAGGGGTTATGTTCTTTATCAGAACAACATTTCGTTAAAAAAATGTTCAGAAAAATGAAAAATACTCATTACAAAACCAATTTATTAAGAAAATGATAAACTCACTTTGGAGTTGCTATTGTACTGCACCTGACCTCTGAGAAAACTATCATATAGAATCCAGACGCTTCTACTTAATTACAGTTCGCTGTAATATATTTTATAACCCTCTTGGGGAAGGCACATATCGAGACTCGCACGCGCGCTCATATTCAAAACTTTTCGTATTATTGAAAACATACAGAAACATTACTTTCCAAATATTTTTTCACATGCTTAGCAATTTCAGTTGAATCGCAGTTTGTTAAAAATCCGAATGCAAGACTACTGATTCTCTTCAGGAGCAGGCAGTCAACCCTCAAACGATGCTCCAGCCGAAGTGGTTTCCAAACTCGAGTTATTTTGATAAGCCTTTCCTTGCGTACTCACCTTCCTGCGGAAGCAGTTTCCTTGCGCAAGCCGCTTTGAAGATTTCATGTAGAAATATTATAAATAATGTAAATTGAAATTTGAACTTTTCGAATGATTGTAACCTATCAGCAAAAAAAAAAAAAAAAAAAAATATTCGTAGCATAAAATATTTTTTTAAATTCTTAGAATGAGATGTATTAACCCGAACAGCAAAGTGTAAATTGTTCTCTTCAATACTTTACCCGTAGGATGGGAGGTGTACTATCTATTCTAGAACGCAATGTGACGGTGAGAAAATCACGCAGTAAGAGCACGAAAACCCAAATGCATATACTGGCCTAACTATGTCAAGCTACCGGAAGCTAACATTTTTCGGAATTGTAAAATACACAAATAGTATAACGACAACGGTGTTCCGGTATTTATCATTATATCCGGAGGCGAATGATACTTCACGTTCGGGGGGGGGTTCCCGCTTTTGGTACAAATGCTCTAGCACTCTGGTACCTATTACGACATACGTACTTCCGTATTTGCTTTCACGGTCATTGCTTCGCCATCATTGCCGATTATTCTTCATCATGATCTATCTCTACGTGATTTATCACATTAAGTAATCGTGAACGGATGGGAGACAACATTAATTTAGTTTTGAGAGTTGTAGACACTTTCATTCATACAATTGGTAGGTTGATGAGAAGAAACGTAATAAGGTTAGAATACACAACGGGAAGGGTACCGAGCGAACCCAATTCATACCGATTGATGTGACACGATCTCACATTTGCCACACCGGTCTAACACTACAAATAATTTTCAGTAATTAAAATTATATTTCTCTATTCTTAGTTGTCTTGCAAATAATTTAATTCGTGGATGTTTTAACTTGTTTCCTGATATATCATTCACTTCAGCATATGACTGATCCCTTAATTTCTGACGTTAATTTTTAAAGTGGCAATGGCTTTTAAATGACCATTAATTGAACATTTTAGTGTGGTGAAGTAAATTACGAAGAAGCAAATGAGGTTTCTTCATAAAAATCTCCATATTGATAGGAAAAATTATGAATAATTTCATCCCCAAGTTACCGAATGTACTTGCTATAATTCTCCATCTAATATAAGACTTTATTTTACGTTCTGTGGCAATCAAAATAATCAAATATTATATATATATATATATATATATATAGATATATATGGCATATAAAAGACTCACCAACTCCAGTGGACCAACGAACTATACGTAACTGTCATTATTTGAAACGAGGGCGTAACTACCATCCTACTGAAGGCGTGAGATTAATAATTAATTTGTAATTTTGTGAAAGAAGCTTCAAAATTTCTCTAGTAACATTTTGTCAAAACAACCTCAAAATATTTTAAAATGAGCATCGAGGAATATATGCATACGCTGGTCAATATTTTGGATTTTGTAGAAAAAGCATTTCAAATCATTTTGTGGTGTTAATAATTTTTTTTTGTAGTATTAAAATATTTTGTAGACCTACGACAAAGAGGGACAAAACGTTGTTTGTTTCAGTGCAGTACAAACCAGTGACCGGTTAATTCAACATTTTGAATTCTGAAAGGCGATTTCCTCTTTATCTTTTCAATCAACAGTGCGCATCGCCAATGAATGTTCTTTGTCAGCCCCATCTCACAGAGCTTCAAAAATACGAAAGAGCGGCATCCTTGAATTCGCTAAAGTCTTGTTTGGTGCTCGTTCTCGCCAGTGTGTTACGCGGCTTATTAGAGAAAAGTGATTCAACTACAGCCCACAAGCACAGCTGTTTGCCCAGCCTCTTCAATGAGAACGCGGAATCTCGCCACTTGGAGGGAGCGCTGGGCAAACGCGACCGCCTTGCGAACCGTCTGCTCGTCGCTTTTCCTCGTCACGACGCCCCAGCCCCACACATGACGAGAGGGGAGCTCAAACAGCTGGAGAGGGTCCTCGACACGCCCGCCTAGGGGCACCCCCGCCTCAACGAGTCGCGGGCACACCGCCTCTGCTTCTCCCTTCGCTCGACATCATGTGTGTGTCTCGCTGCCCTCTCTCTCTCTTTCTTTCTCTTTCTTTCTCTCTCTCTCTCTCTCTCTCTCTTTCTTTCTCTCTCTCTCTCCTCTCCTCTCTCGCTGTGCTCCTGTCTCTCTCTCTCTCTCGCTTGCTGTGCTTCTCTCGCTTGCTATGCTTCTCTCTCTCTCTCTCTCTCTCTCTGTCTGTCTCTCGCTGTGCTCCTCTCTCTTGCGCTCGCTCGCTGTTTTCCTTCCTCTCTCTGCCCTTTGCTCTGTCTGTCCCCCCCTCTCTCGTCTGTTGTGAGAGTTGTCAGAACTGTGGTACATTGCAAATCGTCGAAAAAATAAGTGTTAAAATGAAATGAATGAATGAATGATTGATGAATGATTGAATGAATGATTGATATGAATGATTGAATGAATGATTGAATGAATGATTGAATGAATGATTGAATGAATGATTGAATGGATTGAATGAATGATGAATGTGAATGAATGAATTGATTGAATGAATGAATGATTGAATGAATGAATGATTGAATGATTGAATGAATGATGAATGAATGATTGAAGAGATGAATGATTGAATGAATGAGATTATTGAATGAATGAATGATTGAATGAATGATTGATTGAATGAATGATTGGATTGAATGAATGATATGATTGAATGATGTGATGTGAATGATGAGATGAATGATTGAATTGCAATGAGATGAATGATGTTGATGATATGAATGATTGGATTGAATGAATGATTGATATGAAATGATTGATTGATGAAATGCATTGAATGATTGATTGGATTGATTGATGAATGAATGATTGATGTAATGAATGATTGATTGGATTGAATGATGATTGAATGAACGAAATGATTGAAATGAACGGAATGATTGAATGAACGAATGAATTGAATGAACGAATGATTGAGAACGACTGATGATGACGACGATGAGTATGAATGAATGAAATGAATGTAGAGAATGAAACATTTCTTCATCTTTCACATTCATTCAGTTCCAATTTATATAAGTTTTTCAGACTAGAGAGGTTATGTGACTTTTATATAATTCTGAGAAAACTGTTTATTTAATTCAATATCACTGTAAAATCGTGGTGCTTTTTGTCATTAAAACCACAGCATTCAATTGTTCATTAAAACCACCAACTGATGGCATTAGCACTGAAGTATAGCGTAATGTAAACATGTTTTTTCTCAGAATTTATAAAATTTCACATATACTGTTCTGGATTTCACTCATTTATATGGTAATGCAAAATGTACTTTCTACAAAGTGTCTATTAACATAGGAACAAAACATATTTTGCAATTTACGTATTGATAACATTTTCTCCCTTTTCTATCTTCTTCTGGTTGCTTTGTGGAATTTTTACTTAGAAGAAACAAACTACAATGGGGCAAAACACAGAGAGACAAAAACCAGACGATTTTGTTTGTGGTTATCTAGCACAGTGGTCGAAAGTTCAATTAGCCAAGTGATGCTGTACATCTTATTCTTGCTATATACACCAAGAAAAGATGATGGATTATTTCATTTTGTAAGAAACCATTACAAATCCCTTTAAGCGTCTTGCTGTTAGGAAATTATCCTTCGGAAATGCATCAATGAGATTTAAGATGAACACATAGTTCGTGTTTGTATCTTACAAGTGTTTCCTTAAAAATCCTCCCCAAAACAGTTCAAAATAGTGAAGTTTCAGCTGACAACCTCATTGAAATGAAGGCAGTGATACATGGCATATTTAAATGTAGGTAGTAGAGATAGCAGAAGTACTAGACTTCAGATAATCTAAAAAAAACTTGTAATGGGGTATAATACTGAGCGGTATAATATAATAAATAAATTATTAAATTAAGATATTGAAACTATTTTTAAATTTAAATTACATGATATTTTCTAATGAAACCATTTATGTTTTATGTTTAGGATGTCATACATAGGGGATAAACAGAAAAAAGTTTTGTCAGTAAAATTGAAATGCAAGGAGTACAATCATTTTCATTTTCCAACTATTGAAAATTTAGTGAAAAAAATATTCTTTACTGAACCAGAATTAACTACATTATCATTTTTGATGGTAAATATGATATCGATACGACCTTGAGCGGCACATTTTAAAGTTATGAAAATTGCATGTCTGAAATTAATTAGAAATTGAAGGGTTTGGAAGCCCAGTCCTAGTTCACAAATTTGCAAAAATCGAATTATTACAATTTTCACAGCTTGAGCCTACAAGTTTGTCTCTATATGTAGTAATAAATTGTAATAATAAATAGCAAAGGAATGTAAAAGTTCTTTTATATTTTTTCATGTTGTAGATATATAATAGGTCATAACAATAATATTTTAGTTGTTCAAAACTTATACAAAAATCAAGCAAGGTTATTTTCAGGATTTATGGTTTTCAAATTAATTTTCATCTCCTGTGTTTAATATTATCAGAGGACCCTATAGTTTGGCCTTGCTTGTGGCCCCTTCAGGTATTAAACCCAGCCATATTAAACACCCCTATATTAATTATTGAATTTTAACATGGATATACTTTACTCTCCTTGAGATTAAATGTATGTCGATGCTTTTATCTTATTGAACAGGGGAAAACAATGACGTAAGTTTTCTGCTCTGTACATTTAAATATATTAGAGCGGAAAAATTGAATAATCATTACAAAACGTTAATATTAAATTCAAAGACTCATTCGCATTTCTTCACATAGAGGTATCTAGAGGCAGTACATATTATTCACCTCACCCTTCATTCAATGAGGTCATTGATGTCAATGTTTTTTGGAGATTGCAATTGCTCATGAGCGAGAAAATTCGGTGAACATTTGTGGGTATTTCTAGGGGGAAGTTTTGGATTTATATCTGAGTATATGTGAGGAACATTTGGGAACCAGTGATAAACTTGTGAAGTAAGCTGTAGGGAAACATGTGGTGAATGTGCGGAAATACATGCCGTAATCATGTGGTGAATACGTGAACAGAGAAGGGAACATGCGGCGAACTAACGGGAGAACATTATTGTGAATGTGCGAGGGAACACGCGGCGAGGGAAATATGTAGAGGATCGTGTAGGGAAACATGCGAGGGAGAGATGTAGAGAAGAATTAAGTGAAGTTTTAGTTCTTCCTGATGACCCCTTCTCCATATCAGGGTGGTCAGAAACGAGCGGAAACTAGATATCTGCGTAAGATTAATTTGACACCGAAATAGGCACGCCATGGCGGACCTACTGCTTCAATGTACCATTCAGTTTTTGACTTGATGTTGGCATCCAGTATTAAGCTATTTTCACTTTCAAAATAATGATTTACAAAGTGGAAAAAGGTTCACACGTGCCCAGCTAGTAAACTTTATATCATGTGTCGCCTTGTGGTTCATTATAACACAAACGTATTGTTAGTGAAAAGAAACACTTCCTTGAAGGAACGCAGTTATTGTGGTTTATTACCCACATTTCACAAGGCGGTTCCTGCAGAAGCGCTTTTCGTGAAATGTGGTAATAAATGCTTGGTAAATTGGGGGTACTTGGACTGCTGTGGCGTTCCCGGCATATTAAAATTAATTTCGGGATGTGAACTTCAAACGTTTTATTGAAATGCGAAATTATTATATTGTCACTTTTAAATGTTTCTTACAAACATCGAACCGATTATAAATTATCAGATATGATCACACCAACTTTACCTATGTCTCACTAATAGTGTTGAAAACTTGTTTTTGTATTTGTAATTATAAAATAAGAGTTATCATTTCAAAAAAAAATTACTTAACATACCTGATGTGTTATTTCTATTTGAATGTCACCACATTATATTAATTCGTAATTTCGCTGTTATGCGAGTGTGTCATGGGAGGGGGAATCAGATAATAAATTGCATTCATCTTTCTGTGCTATATAATTTTTATTGTTATGTTTTTTACATATTGTTTTGCAGCGGGCTTATAAATGCACGTGCTTACCGCCTGTTGAGAGTAGCTACTTGTCTGTCCCGGAGACGCCGCGTCCTAGGTACAGGGCCACCATTCAGCGACCTTCCTCAGGGCGAAGTGCAAGAGCGAGGAAGGTCGCAGAACGGCGACCGAATCGTTAGCCCCTGTGCTCGGCCGCGGCGCCTCCCGAATTGCCAAGTAGTTCCCGGCTCGCCCGTTGCAGCAGAGTGCGCGCTCGCTTGCGCAGGTGTACGTGAACCCGTACGACCTGGGGCGGCGCCGCAACTGGCGGCGCTTCCTGGGGCTGCGGCGCGGGCGCGGCTGGGTGAAGGGCGTGCTGCTGCCGTCTGCGCACGCGCCCTTCGGCGCGGGGCTCACGTGGCGCACGGCGTCGCTGGCGCCGCAGCGCTCCCCGCGCGGCGCCCGCGGCCTCGACCCCGCCCTCGACGCCCTCGCCCTGGCCGCCGCCGCGCCGCGAACTCCTCCTCCTACCGCCTCCTCTCCAGCGGCGCGCTCCCGACGCCCGCCTGACGCAGACGCCCTAGCGCGCCCCGCCCCACCCCGCCCCAAAAGCGACTGCCGCCTCTCCGGCAGCGGGACACACCCTCCCTACTCCCACGCCCGGGGCACGCGAGAAGGGCCTGCGGAGGGCGGGACGCTCAGTCGCACCGCCGGAGCGCATGTTTATTCGCTATGGACGTTTGTTTTAATTGGTTCTTACCTAGGTTACGTAGGTCCAAGAAAATCATTGTTTCAGTTTGCCGTTGGAGCTGTGAATACTTAACCTAGTTGCTGTCAGATACATTCGTTATACATCCTAACCGAATGACTCTCACACTAAAAGTATTTGGTTTGATCACCAAAATCAATGAAATAGTTCGAAAAATAAGGACAGGAGGAAACCAAAGTAACAATGAAAAAATGACTTTTTTCATGTAGTTAAATTAAAATCAGTAAGATTCTCCTAAACGGGAAAAATGGCAATATTCATGAGTAAAACTAACCTTCAATCGAAATTCTATTGTATTTAGGATTTTTCCTGAATGACCACGCCAGTGCCATCTAACACTGTTAACACTTGGACATTTTCTCAAGAAAGCAAACGAGGCTAAAGCCAAAACGGTCGCCGCAGATATAAAAAGGGTTTCATTGATATTGTCGGAAATAATTCTAATGCCTCACTTAGCTCACGTCTAAAACTTTGCTCTAGTTTTCGTTACATTCCGTTGTGATTTCACATTCTCTGTATGCCCTAAGAACTTGCGAGCTAACTTTGTTATTGGACTGTGCCGCACTACTAGATGAAGATTGGCGGGTGGGGTGGGTATTGGACTGCCAGTATCGAAGGACCAATTAAAATCGATTGCAATTGGCCGGTTGCCGATGTGCATTTCTCGACGGAAATGCGCGCTACATTGACAATAGGAAGAGGTGAGGTTTCGAGGAGATGCCTTTGCCGTGACGACTGCAAGTCACGGCGTAATGTGTTATTTTGGGTGAAATGTACGCGTTTGATGCCGCAAGCATCCGCATTCTCGTTCTCGCTGTTGTCCCCAGCTCTCTCGCCGCCCGGGCAGTCGAGCAGCCGCCGCGGCGTTGAGTACCACGCACCACGCGAGTTACAAATTATTTTCAGGACTGGAGGTTGCGCACTTGGCTCATTTATAATGCGAATTTAACATATCTTAAACATAATCGTAACGTGGAAATCAATTGCAAAATAAACGAGAATCCGAAGTTTCAAACTCAACGTACCATAAGTGTAGACATATATATTCCAGTTGACATCAATGTTTTCTTGGCACTCATATGTATACTTTGTCTCGTACGTGGGTTCGGGTAGCGTTGTAGTTAGGTAGTCGTTGCGAATGGATGGGTTTATGCAATTGGCTATGAGTGTATTTCCTATCTTTAAGCAGGTTGTGTTAGATATATATACTAAACATAGTGCGTGCATATTAGGACAACTGATGTTATATAGATCTGGAATGGGTTCTTTTTATATAAACCAAAGAGTGTACCAAAATTTTCAATAATTTTGTATAAGAAATTTACCAAGGGCCCATTGCAGACTTTTGTGCATCTTAAAATGGTACTAGGACTTCTCGTGAACATCGCTGTTCATTTATCTAGTCTTGCAATTGGCTTGTTCACTCATTTTAATGTAACTTAGCAGCAAAAGCTTGAAGCTTGTTAACCTCTCAACAATCACTTTTGTTTATATATAAGCATCGCAATGCAATGGTCGCGTTAAATAACACATAATTAGTATTCGCGTCAGCGATGAATGTATGTTTAAGTTACGTTAAAATCTAATGGGAAGATAATGTGATGTACATTTTGTCACGAGGTTATAAGGTTAAATATGTCTGGATCAATTCACAAGGGGGGGTGTCATGTATTATATATCCGCAATAGTTTGACGGAGAAATTATTTATCTCTTACCTAAACAAGTTGCGGACCCAAAATTGTACTTAATTCAAGTGAATGGAAATTGCAAGATCAGTGGATGATCATTTTATTGTACACTTTTTACGGTGTGGCTCTCGACATACCGTATTACAAAGGTTGGACTTAATATTTTGCCTGTACTTACGCCACTGTCTGGCGTCTATACATTTCTATATGTGTGTCAGCTTTTATGCCAGACACATCTTCGTGTACAATCAGTAATAGTCTAATCACTTTTAAAAAGTCAATGCGGCTTCCATTTCCAAATACTTGCGTGGAAACGAGAAAAAGTCTTCTCCAGTGCGTGGTATTCTCTGCCTGAAGTCTTAACATAGTTCTCTAGTATTTATGAGAAAAAATAACGAAAATTTTTTGACTTTTTATGAAAAAGTACATGTTTCGACATCGCACAACGTATTTGTATTTGTCGCAGCGTGTCTAAAGGACGCAGTACAATAAGTGAATTAGAATTATACACACTTCGCTTTTTTCAATAAATGATACTCTCTCAGAAAATGTTTTTGTTGTGTCTTGTCTTGTTTGTTTTCTCACTCGTTGGGCCAGACCACGCTCTCGATCCAGGGCACGTAGCTGGAGACGCGCGTGTACACCCCTGGGGAGTTCTTGAGGGCACAGCCCTTGCCGAAGGAGGTGACGCCCACCACGTGGTACACGCACTTGTTCTCCGGGCCAGTGATCTGGATGGGGCCGCCGGAGTCTCCCTGCGAAAACAAAAGCCCGCTGTGAGGTTGGGATCACGACGCACTCACTATTCGGCAGACGTCGCTGGAAGAGGTGGTTTGAACAAATTTAAAAAGTGTCTACCCGCTACAATGCCTATCACTCAAAACTGGACGACGGCGAATCTATGGCCGCCGTGCGTTTACAAGCCGTACCGTGCGAGAAAAGTGAATAATTTGGAAGGTGAATGGCTGAATGGCTTTTACAACATTCATTATTCGGCTGGTTTACATTAATTCATGTTGTTGAAGATATCAAATTGTTTTTATTGCCTTTTTTAAGCGATTAAATACGTCAGTGAGGATGTATGATGAACGGGACACACGAGTTCAACAAAAAACAACAGAAAAACATTAATATTTGCAGAACATTTAATTTCTCAAGTTGATTTAAAAAGCGTTTGATATAAATATCAAAGGCTAGCCAGCAAAATGATTCACTTTATACTGAACAATATTCACTTGAAAACGTATTGGCAGTATTTTTTACTCAGTTCTACATTACTTGCTTGCATTCTTATAATACTTCAGGATTTGAACTACTGAAGGACATGAACTACAACACTTCGTTGTCATTCGAGCCATCATGTGTAAGAGTTATTGTAATTAAAATGCCCACCTTCCATACAAATTTTTCGCTCATCATTTCTCCCTGCTAACGTTTAACACTTACAAATAACACATGCATTTGCAAATAAAAATGTTTTCAATAATATACGGTAAAGCAAAAGCTAGTGCCAGTTTCTTAATTCGCGTGTTTTGTCGATATATATTGAACTCGCACTTCTCATTTATTAAAGAATGTTTACCAAATCACTGATTCCAGTTTTACCTTGGATTTTTTTTTCAAATATCTTTTCGTATAAAGCGTGTCAAACGCTGCAACCCAATAAACCTGTTTACATGGCAAGAGGTAGTCAAATGCAGGTGTCACTTTAATTCATCTTTTCGCTCCAATATTTTCGGCGAGGAAGTGGGATAGGAGTCTAACAAGAGACAGTACCGCATTGTTCTTTAACGTGAGCGCCAAAGAGTTGGCGCTGTGTCACACAAAGTAGTTGCACGTTATTTTCAAGGTTGTTCAAACGAAACAAGAAATGAGACTCGTCTTGTTTGAATAAAGTGTAGCCACTTCGAAGTCGTGTTACGAATTGCAAGCTCAAGGCTATCTGTTTTTTACGATCAGGAATTTATTCAACGTGCGTCGTATCAACTTGACATCTCTCTTTTCTGTATTTGATCTTGGAGTGAAAGGGAATCTTTTTTTAAATTTTATTTCGAGAGTCGTATATAAAATGCAATTCCAAGTTTTAGTTCTGTTTTTTGGTCGAGCCACGATGTCTGATATTGCCAATAACCTCATCCAACGATTATTTAGTATGTATTTTGCACCAATAATTATGCATTCCATGTGCATGCGTGCGAGAAATTTAATTTACAGCGAAGAAAATTTGTTTTGAATAAACTGTTGCTCTCGCTAGTCCGTGGATTTGTGTTCCCTAGTACGTAAATGCTGCACAATTCTATGAAGATCTTCATTCTCACGGGCCTTTTTTCTGTTTAATAGATTTTTATGTTTTACAAAAACTAGTGGTGTTAAACAGCACACATTTCTCGCATTTTTATAACATTTCAATTTTCGAAAATTCAGAGTGTTCAACATAATTTAAATGTGCCATTTTAAAGCATCATTTGCTCTCTATCTGTGGAAAAATGACAGTTTTATAATTCTCGTCCCATCAACATTTTTAAAACAAGAGAAAATGTACAATATTTTATTATAATGAATCATGTTCTTCAGAATAAAAAAAGAACTGTCACTGGTGGATAAAATGAAATTGTTTAATAAAATTTAAAACTGTTAACTACGTTCATTATTTAATTTCCCCAGTCTATTTAAGAAACGCCTTGAATTTAAAAACCGCGATATTACGGATGCTGCATATCCTCTGAAGGACAACTGCTTGTAATTTCCCAGAAAACTCTACTCACGCACAGACTCAGGTGAATTCCACCACGGACGTGTGACCCGACGAAAAGAAGGACCCTCAGAGTTCCTGCTTCACGACGGCTTGTGGCCAGAGTCACTCGTGCTAACTTGTCAGATAAAACTAACACGTATCTCAAACGTGTATGGATCTCTCAAGTGCCTAGCTTGGCGTGTCTGATGCGACGGCCTACGTCCGGAGTCCGGTCCCTACTCCTTGCCAGGAGCGGTTCTACCATTAGGTCTGACGGTTGTGCACCTCTCCATTTTCTTTCTAGGGCTTTTATCCAGCCGACAGTCGGTTACCCATTACCCGATGGGATGTATATTCGACGATACACTAAACACCAACACCCTTACGGGCTTCACTGATCAATGGTCAGCATAACGCGAGACCCTCCGCGACAACATATACAATATATATGAGACAAGGGACAAACACGCTCATGGCGGGACTCGAACACGTGACCCGAAGCGCTGAGTCTGTACACTCTCTTAGCCACCTCGATCATCCAGGGTGGCACCTCTCCATCTAAGAGCCTAAAAAAGATATATAGTGATACAATCGGTGGTTACCGCAGAATATTTTACCCGTCCATATTTATTCAATAAATGTCGGTCACACATTCGACTTCGAGGTCACTCGGCTGTCTTATAGTTATAATACAGAGTTCAGCCAAGAGAGCCAATGATTTGTAATTAGTACAGGTGTCACCTGGTCCTATTTTTTTCTTTAACGGCCGCGTACAATTTCGATCATATCGAACACTGAATGCGCAAATTTCATCTCTTATTCTCAAAAAAGCATTATTAATGCCGTTCCTTGTTATCATGTCCATGAACTGTTAACGTTATTTCTAGTGTATACGGGGAATACTAAAATAGGCATTTGCTTAAAAATCCTAAATCCAGTTCAAAATTTACTCTCCAGATACACATTTTCAAGGAACAGAACACGTGCGTGCTCTCCTTAATTGGATCTTACGCAAGAGCAGCAAAGATATCGCTGGAAAGTGGTGCGAGAATCATTCTGTCGTTGGTCAGCGATTGTGACAAGCTTGAAAGAGCAAAACAGAACCACCGACTCGTGAGAATTGAAGAGATGCCGTCTCGTGTCTCTAGGGGCGGGCACAGAAAATGAAGGTCCTGGGACAGTTGATCCAAGGGGGCCACTTAAAATCCTTCTGCCCCAGTTCATAAACAGAATCCATTTCTCCACGCGTCATAAATAACTTGGCGTTAAATTTGGATTAGAGATAAATACAGTTTTCATTTCTTTTGAACGGGAAAAAAGAAAAGAAAATCGGGGCCGTGGTCGAGTTGTCCGCACGGCCCTGCGCGTGCCTCACCTGGCAGGTGTCCTTGCCGCCCTTGAGCACGCCCGCGCACAGCATGGTGGGCGCGATGCCGTCGGCCAGCGGGCGCGTGCCGCTGGCGCTGCGCCACAGCTCGTTGCACAGGTTGTTGTCGATGATGTCCAGCGCCACCTTCAGCAGCGTGTCACTCGGCGACTCCGCTGCGCACAAGACAAGCACAACCGCCGTTACGGGCCGCGGGAAATTACCGACTTGTACGACGACAAAATGAAAATAGTAAGAAAAATAATGGGATAAAAATGTATCCGTTCCATGTTCTACCAGAGTAAGTATCACACTAATTCACCTACTAATTATTAGAAGTGCTGTTTGCTGAATTAACTCGGATATTTCTTAAAACTTATTCGTTACTGATAAAAAACGGTTTAATTTTCCCTTTTGTTTTTAGTAGTAGCTTAACTTTTAGTTGTAAAATTTATCTTCAGGTTTCAAATTAAATGGGGCACTCATGCGATAAACGTAAAACGTTGACAATGTTTGATAGTAGATTCGATAATTAGGGCCTTCTTATACAAAATTACATTTTTCATATCTACAGAAAAATAATCGTTATCCCAGAAAAAAAAACATTATTTCGATTTTGTTGTACGGACGTCGAATAATAGTTATATAGTACACCAAATGTGTTTTTTCAATATATTACAATAAAAAATTGATGAGAGAAAAACGAAGGAAGGTAAGGGAAATGTTTCTATATATAAAACTGGCCTGAATGTTTTTCCTTCCTTGATCTTTGCCTTTGTTTCTATTCATGTCTCGATTGTGCTCATTTATCTACTGTAAGAACAAGGACAAGTATAGTGGAGGCAGAGAAGGGTCGACGAATAGGAGCAGGGAACAAAAACAATGACTAGAAGGAAGAGATGAAAACAAGCGAAGTACGAGATCGAGAGAAGGGAAATAGGAGCCTGGCAATATAGGGCCTGGAAGTAGCAATTAACAGAAGTTTTCTAAAAATAATGTGAATCCTAGAAGAGAAGGAATGAGAAATAATAAATCAGGTGTGGAGCAAAATTGAGAAGTTGGAGGCTTCACTGATGAGTGATCCCAGGCGTGTCAACTGCCAAGATCATTAGTTCCGTAAGTATAGTGCATGCTTTTATCGCGGGAAATGGCGGTGGTCTTCCTCCGCTGAATGGCGATATCTGGCACCGACCTACAAGTCAGTCTGCTTGCGGGGTTTTCCAACCAGGTATTTCACTAGCGGTGCGCTAGTCGGGACTAGCCCTAAAGCACATGACCGATATCCTTGCATGTGTGGTAGTGTAGTGCATGTTAGTGTGTATGTGTGTGTAATGGGTGAGGATTGGACAAGGAAGAGGAGGGAATGAGCGCGCGCGGCCCATGGCCCGTTTGTTAGAGTACTGCTCCGGCATTTGGCTGGAGACGAACGGAGAAAGTAACTACACTACCCAGCAGAACAACCAGTTGTTAGAATTCTCTTTTAGACAACGCCTGTCGAAAATTCTGCCACCGTCGGAACCCTAGGACCTCCCAGTCAGAGTCGCTGCAGGGACGTGAGGTGTTGTCCTGAGCCGGTTGGGGACTTGGGAAAGGAACGGGAGCGAAGGAAGGGGGGGAAAAAAGAAAAAAGAGGCGTACCGTAGTCGATGCGCCCCCAGCCGGTGGCGATGGTCTTGTTGATGGCGGGCGGGAAGTCGGGGCGCGTGTAGAGGCAGGCCGGGCGCAGGTTCTTGCCGAAGCGCGCGCGCTGGGCGAGTCGCAGCAGCGCGATGTCGTGGTACTTGGAGGGCGGCCGGTACTCCGGGTGGCGGATGACCTCGGCCACGGCGATGTCGACGGGCGAGGCGCCGTCGGCGTCTGACTTGAGGTTGAGCTCGCCCAGGCGCACGCGCACGGGCGGCCCGTGGCTGGTGGACGTGCAGTGCGCCGCCGTCAGCACGAACTCGTCGCTGATGAGCGAGCCGCCGCAGTGCCACGCCACGCCGCCGCGCTCCGCGAAGCCGATCGCCGCCTGACGCGCGACACAAAGAGCCATTTTCACCGGGGGGCCCTCCCCCTCCCGAAGAAAGGGCCATTTCTACGTGGGCGCCTCCCCCTCTCGAAGGAAGGGGCATTTTCACGTGAGACCCCTCTCGAAGAAAGAACCATTTTAAGTGAGCCCCTCCCCCTCCCGAAGAATGGGCCATTTCTAAGTGGACCCCTCCCCCTCCCGAAGGAAGGGGCATTTTCACGTAAGCCCCCTCTCGAAGAAAGAACCATTTTACGTGGGCCCGTCCTCCTCCCCGCGACCTTGTGCCATGGTCTCGCAGAGAAGTCCTGTAATCTCCCGCCCGGGTGTTCAGATCTCCGGTGACACATCGTTGCAATGAGAGTATTATAAGAAGGAACCGATTTGACAGCTACTTGTTGGTCTCTGTTGGCAATATCAATGCAAGTTACGTCCATGCACTCATTTTGTCGATGTGTTCGCTTGGAGTTGCCACCATTTGCAAATGGCTTAATCATTATCTTTTCCAATGTCACCACCGTGTATGACGTTCTCATGTGTTTCCAGGCCTGTCAAAGTGGTCTGCTCTTGGAGTAGCTCCTCAGTAGCAAAGGTAGACCACTGGGAGGAGACGGGTTGGCGGCCCCATAGGCCCTCGTTACGCTATTGGCCTTTATTTATTTAACATCATTAAGTGACGTACTATGGAGAGAAGTGCAATATTTTTACGGTTTCTTGAGCTCTGGGATGTCTGGTCTTACTCAAACACATATTAAGTTGAACTGTGAATACATGTAGCAACGAAAGTTTTTGACAAGATATGAAAATATTCTCTGTGATTTGTCAAAACCGCAACGCAAATTTATTATTCTTGACTTCATGTGAAATAATTGAAAGCTAAAACAACACCCGACCGGGTTATTTTTATTTCGAAAGAGGTTTGGTCACAGCCGTTTCTTCAGTCCCCTAGCTGCGTGTCTGGTTTGAATATCAGACAATATCTCAAAAATGTGTTATGGTATTTACTAGTAACATTTTGTTCTCTAAGAAACCACTTCCTCTCAACTCTCGTCATTACCAATGTTTTTTAGTAAATAAATTTAAAATCCAACGTTAATTTTAATAGACTTTTAAATAGTACTTCAAATAGTTAATTAACAACTTTATAGGTGTAATGTAAACATAAGCTATATACGTTGGAAGAACGTTTTACGACAATGTGTCTAGCGATGCATTTCATGTCTTTCATTTGTGAATCAGAGACGGAAATAGCCATTGTATCACGACGTGACTAGGAAGTACGAAAGACCCAACCGAAAATGTGTTTACAAATTCTTCCTTCTTCAGTATGAATCATTGGGTCGGGGTCTCCTACCGACTCTTTAGGCATTCGCTGGCGCTAGCTATACCGATAACTGTTGAAGGTAGGTTCACGATTGCATCGACTTTTAAGCCAGTTACAGTTCGAATTAATGAAACTTGAATCATTAATTCTTGCTTCATCACCTGAAAAACATCATCATGTGAACAGAATAACTGTGAAATATTTCTATCGATGCTACGAAGAAAACATTGATAGAATCTACGAAAACATTAGGCTCTGCTTCAAATTTAATTCGTATTAATACTCACATTCCTTAAAAGATGTCATTGATAATAGTGTGATATGAAGATTATAATTACGCTAAAGTCTCATAGTGCAAATGCAACACTTTTGTCATTTTGATATATTAAATTTATTATACCGTTAATTACTAATGACTGTCCCAAACGTTCATACTCATTTGGCGGAATCTCATACTTAAATATGTACTAATGTACATAATAACATTTTTAACAAACAAATTAGAGACAATTAACGTAATTAGAGGTATTTTATCGTAGGTATTAAGTTTTATTAGGTCTTGTATTTTACAAACTTGAAAATTAAATTGTCTTATACGACAACAATAGGTGTGAGACTCTGACCTTAGTACCCCAGTGAAAATAACGCTTAAAACAATATGACACATCAAAGGATTGTGTCTAAATAAGTGCTGAAGTCTTCGTGATATCCCGGTGAAAACTTTAACAAATAGAACTGTATTCGATAGGACAGTCTTTTTGTTCAGTCGTAATGAATATCAAAATCAATGCAATAAAATATGTAAATATATATTCTTCCGTGTCTTTCATGGAACGCAGGAGGCCAATTTTTTGAGAGTACTAATAATACGCTTCCCGTACTAATTTTTTAATTCAATAATGGTTATTTGAGAAATCTTAAGAGTTTCCCTGTGAATTCCGACCCTCAAAAAACTCGTAATGCCTGGACTTTACATGCAATTTCTACTCGGTATCGATCAGTGTGACTGACGGAGTAATTGACTGTGCTGACTGAGCAAATATATATATATATATATATATATATATACATACATACACACATCTGTACTCCTTACAGAGGAGTAAGTACTGCGACCGTGCCTTGAAATACTTTCAGTCCTCAGAGAGACTCGAACTTGTTCTTTTGGACGAGTTAGTGCTTCGTCCCGAATCACAAAGAATAGCAAAACCAATTGTTCGATTCTGTAGCAATTCCAATGCTACGGAAGCATTTCCAATGCTTCGATTGGCAAGGATGCCTCCATCTGCGACAGTGGCTCCTTTTGACCTATTTAATTAGTGCGATGGAAAGACAGCTCGCTTCTTCAGTTGGAATAGCGATCTCCCGGTCAAAGAACGCAGTGTCAAGATTTATTTGTTTTTCCTCCTTTTAAAATTTGCAAAAGCACATTAAAATTTTGTATTGAAGATTTTTGTACTACAAAACCTTCGACTCTGATGAGGAAGCGTATAGCGATTGAGACGTCAATACATTTAAATCCGTGTCAAAAATTGCCTGGTTTCATAAGCAAAAATCTCGACAGATGAGTACAATAAAATAACAAACGAAAATTTCACACCATTTAGCATCATATTACCTAACTGCTTTTTTTTCTTTTTTTATCATTCGTTTTCATCTTGCTATTCTTATTCCGTACGTATGAAGTAGGCAAAAGATTATTTCAGCAAATGATATTGACACATTATCTGAATCAAATCCCAATTTTAACAAAAATAGGAATTTCAATTAAATTGTAAAGAACTTTTATATTATTTATTTCTCGGTAACATAGAGAGCACCATTGTCGTCATGTTGAAAAGATATTCTGTGGTTTTCTTGAAGGGGGAAGAAATTAGGCAATTTACATTGTTTTGACTTGAATGAATCCTATTTTCGAAACTATTCAACACACGCTCATATATGCCCAAACAGATTGGTACATCGAGGGACAACAGCTGACAACTCATCGGAAGGATACACACTGATTCATACTACTCGTAGATGCGAAGGAAGAATCGGTAAACACATTTTCGTTTGGAAATGCCAAGCCTCCCAGCTTCGTCATGATATGCCGAAAAGAATCTCAAGAATTTTACTTACGTTTTTAAATGCCATGGTCATTTTTAAGGTATTTATCGATACGTAAATTGTATTAATCGTTGTTTTTTTTTCACGAAGTACCCATTTCTTTTTCCAGGTCTTACAGAACATTCTATCTTTCCACAATGGTCTTGGAATGAAACGGCTGTTTCGCTCGCATTAGGGCTGCTTTCCTCCCCTTGTCATAATCACTACGTCCCAGAGTCTCAGTGGAAAGTAGGCGAACAGCATTACGCTCTGACCTATGATAGCTCTTCACTGGGACGAACTTTCCAAGAAGCCATTCTCATATGAAAGTTAAAAAAGTATTTATGATTTCTATTTCCTTTATCCTTTTCTTTTGACATCAATAACCCTTAAGTTCGGGCAAAATTTCTAATTGTATCTGTGCACTACCTGCAAATTCATTGGTCAGCGATCTAAGTCAATCTTCTTTGGTTCAAAGAGATGATACTAATAACTAGGGGGCGGATTTTTATGAAATGTTTTTTTTTCACTTTAGAAAAACGCTGCTTATTACAGAACTTTATTTTTTGTTATAACAAAAGGAAATTACCCATTTTAATGCCATTTCGTTTTGCATTTTTCGTCTATTTCGATGTAATTTTTCATCATTTTCTTTCATTTTCAGCTGATTTCATTGATTTTAATATCCCTTTAATGGCATTTGATTCAAATAATATTTGCGAGATGCAACAAATACTCTCCACAGAATTTCTGAGTACCTGTGCCAGGTAGGCTATTCGATGTCTTCGCTCAGAAGTTGTAATGCCAGCCATTGTGAGTATGTCATTTTAAGGTTCCTCTGACGCCTGTCAGCACCATTAGTGGTTCAGCCGATTTCGGGATAACTAAAGCCAGACAATTTCTGGTCCAAACCAAAAGTTCGAAAGCCGAGTTCATTTCAACGAATAGAAGAAGCCTCAATTACACCAGTAACGTTTCCTACAGCTTTATTTATTCATCCGAACTGGTTTTGACTACATTTTTTTTACATTTTCTTTGCTTTTTGGGCATTTTAAAAAAATTTTAAGAGCATTTTATTTATCATTATTGGTGAAGCCCGCCCCTACTGATAATGTTTGACGTAACGTTACCTGATTTATAAAAAAATAACATGAATTGCAAAATTAAGTACACGAATTATTAGATTTTACAATGTAGCTCTATTAATAACAATAGTTTCTTTCAATTTATTTTTTCTACCTATTTGAATTCCACAAGAGTTTTCATTTCATTGTTCTTGGTAAAAGTGCAGTGAAAAAAAGAAACAACTCATTAACTGTCTCTTTCCTCTTTCTTAAACTCTGTTTTAAAAATATTGAACGCAGTTTGTTACCGCTGAAGGATCTTAGCGAGCTTCTGTATTTTTTCTTTCCTTTGAGTGAACCAATAATTTCTCTTAAATTTAATTTGGGGCAAGCTACATTTATAAATTATTTTTTGGTTTGTGGGATATGTTCCTTTAAACACTCGTTACTTTGGTTCTAAATATAGCTTTCTTTGCTCTCTTCGACATTATTGAAGTGCTCTAAAAATACGTTTTGCACATTCTTCCGAATTAGATAAAATCATTTGATCATCAAAAAATGATAATTCAAGGGTATAGTTTCAATAACATACATGTTAAGAGATTTTCCCATCGGATAGCATAATGAAAATAAAGAATTCGTATAAAGTGACGAACATTTCTGTTCTAAATGTTAATAATCCTTTGTATTTTTCTGTAATTTATTTACTTATTCTTTTACTTCACCTATCCATTTTTACTTATATTAATTCATTAATTATTTTGCTTGAAAAAGCTCATGGCAACGTTTCATGATTTCCAGTTTCATTTGATTCTTTTGAAACGTCTGTGTCCCGTCTCCATCCTTCGTGGAGGCGGCCTCTAGTAGCGCGCAGTGTGCGACGCGAACAAAGGCGCAGCCGCAGGCACTCACCATGTGCGGGAACTCTCCCAGCTCGGCGTTCTCGCCGCCCACGATGAGCGGCAGGCGGCTGATGTCGCAGTTGGGCACGTGCACCTGCACGGGCTTCGGGTTCGGCACCAGCGGCAGCGCCTCGATCGTCTGCGTCACGTCCGCGGAGAACTGCCGGCACTCTGCAACGTTTGCGTCAACTAAGGTCTCTAGTCGCGTAAGTGTAGTGCAGGTAGCTAATGTGACACCGGTTGATTGATTGTTAGTCATTCCGGGCCCGTCAACTTCTCAGGTCATTAGTCCCTTAAGTGTGCTGCATGTTTTTTGGGATGTGGCGGTGGTCTCCACCCGCTGTATGACCAGATCTCGGCGCCGTCCTACCGTCGGCTAGCGAGGTTTTTCCCAACCAAGTATCTCCTACTAGCGGGGCACTGCCCCAGCAGGGAGACGCTCTAAGCTCCAAGCGGGTCTCCATGTGTGGTATCGTAGTGCATGTTAGTGTGTGTGAGTGTAAGGACTGAGGATAGGACAAGGAAGACGAAGGAACGATCGCGCGCGGTCCGTAGCCAGTTTGGTAGAATACTGCTCCGCCGTTTCCCTGGTGTTGATCAGAGAAACCACGGAAAACTATTGATCAGAGGAGTCGACCGTTAGGATTCTCTAACGTTCTTTAGGCGTTTATATATTTTGATGTTACTACACATTTCTTTTTCGTTTTGTTTCGAAACTTCATGAAATACAAAAGGGTGTGTATTGTTTCTAAACGTAAACTTATAGAGAATAACTTTTGTACGATACAAAAAAGTTTGTGGGTAATGTCGAAAAAGGTAAGATGTGATGTTTTGTTTTGTTTCGTTTCAAAATGTAATGATAGAAATGCATTTCTATAGTTTCGAAAAGTAACTCAATATAAAATAACAATGTAAATTTCAATATTAAGTAGCTATCTCTACATTAACTGCACTGTAGACGTCAAAATTTCGTCCACCTTTGCCTAATTTTCATTCGAGTTAATTTGAATGTACATCCACCAGTTGCATTTATGCATCAATCACTCGGCATGGAAAGTAAAGAAAACGTGATTTTCTGTCCACGTTGTGTGACGTCAACTGCAGGTGACTAAAAACTATGTTCCTCCCAGGTGACAGGTTCTCGAAAATAATTTTAAGAAAGGTCCTTTCGTCAATTTGTCCGGTAAGGTCACTTTTGTGTTGGCAAATAATCAGTCAACTATAGTGCACTTTTTCCAATTTTTATTTGAAAGGAAAGTTTAAATATACTAAACAACCAAGAAACACATTTTCAAGATTATATATGTATTGAGCGTAAATAACTAGAAAGTCACGACTAACATAGCTTGCACGTGTAATTGTTTCCCAACATGAAAGCAATATTATTTATTTAAAACAGAAGTGAAGCTTCTTTTACGAAAACTTTCTACAATTTTCAATATGTTTCGCACAATTGTAGCTCTCCAGTTTAGTGATTATAGAAAAATAGTTGAGATTTCGCCAATTATTTGAGCGAATGATGCCCTTAATTTACTTTACAAAAATCTAGGTATTAAATAATGATAATACATGAATCAGTTACAAATATTCGTCGAAAAAAAAATGACGTACGGAAAAAGACAAATTTGAACTGCCCTCTAGAAGAGGAAGAAGCTATGAAAGGGAGCAGAAGAAAAATCATTAACCATCTGTCACATGGACGGAATTAAAAAACGCAAAATCCCAATGGGAGGAAAGGTGACTCGCGGCGCCGCGGATGGCGGAGAAACCCCGAGCGAGGAAAGGGCGCAGCCGCCATCCCAAGTCTAATCCACGCAAGAGGTAAGCCCCAGCTAAGCAGCTTCCAGGTGACCTTCCGGGTTGCAGACCAGGAAAGCAAGACTGGAAAAACGCGGCAGGCTCAGTAGACGGCTGCAATTCCAAGAAAACCAGCTCTCTCAGTTAAAATATGACTGAACGTGATGTACATCCGAGATATTGCAAAAGAATTTAGGACCATTTTTGATAGATATATATTTTTTGTCACAATTCTTGCACTAATGTATGTTTGTTTGTTATTGTGTTATTGTTATTTCAATGTGATGTTGTTTATTGTTGTTCTTGTTTGTTTTTTTTTCTCTCTGAATTGGACAATTAGTTTAAAACCATTTTTAGAAAGAACCAGAATTGGATGGTTTCTTTACATGTCAATAATGTATGTACAATTGTATTTGCCGAATGTTCGAGTAGAACAAATTGCAAATAAAGCAGATGTTAGAAATTTTTTTTTTTTGATAAAGCAAGAAAGTTTCGGATTATCAGAGTTGACCGACTATTTCGTGTTTTCGGGCGCGTCAACTGCTAAGGTCTGTAGTCCCCTAAGTGTGGTGCATGTTTTTTGTCGAGAGGTGGCGGTGATCCTTCCTTCGTGGATCGTGAGACCTGGCGCCGACCTAACGCCGGCTAGCGGGGTTTTCCCGCACCAGCCGGGACACGTTCTAAGGTCGCGATTGGCTCCCGAGATGTGTGGTAGTAGTGCGTATAAGTGTGTGTAAGTAAGGGGATAAGGATAGGACAAGGAAAATGAAAGAAATATCGCGTGGGGTCAGAGCCCCGTTTGTTAGGGTTACCCTCCGGCATTCCCCTGTAGTTGTTCGCAGAAACCACTGAAACCCATTAGAGCAGCCGGTCAGTACAATCCTCCTCCAGATAGCGGCAGAATTCGACCTAGCTATGAAGCTAGTGTCCAAAATCCTTTATCATGGGATTTAATTTCGGAGGCTTCATAATAAAAAATATTATTAAAGAATACCGAAGTCTCTGAATACAATTCCATCTTCAGTAAGGTTGGTACTTTGTGATTACATCCGTGTTCTATTGGGTTCTAATTAACAGTTTTCGTTTGTAATTCATAGCCGACAAAATTCCGAAACTCCTTTCATATATTTTTTTATGCAACCCACTTGACCAGTTCCTATAATGCGAAACTTTCCGAGTATCTGGAGGTACACGATTCGAATACGATCAAAAAGCGTTCATTGACTTGAAAAACCAGAAAGGCCAGAACAGTTTACAAATGTACAAATACAAATCTCCTGGGGAGGAAATGAGAATTCAGGTAATCAAGGATTTTTATCATTTTCGCTTGATCTAATTTTTGTTAAGTCAAATGATAGGGAATAATAACTTCCTCTTTTAAGACTCATAGTACAAGCATGAACAGACGCATATTGTCGCAGGGAAGAAAACAAATGTGGTCTAAGTACTACGAATGACGAAGCTATCGGTCTTCCCGACTACCTCGTACAAAAAGAAATGAAGGAAGATGAAAATTTGCAGCGAATCGAAATAAAAACTCAAAGGCGCGACCACGACCAAACAAACTGATAGGTACTATCACATAGGATACGCGCATATAAGATACTGACTAGCCCATAGAAGGCGTATAAGCTTTCTACCAAACTAAGAATGGATTATCGTTTTATTGTAATTATTTTTATTTTGAAAATATGATTCTAAATTGAGCATTTGTCTAATAAAATATTCCTTAAACGTAGTTCACCAAACAAGCTGCGATTGGACTTAGGCAGCGATATTAAAAAACCACTCATGATAATAACAGTTTTCCTGAAAATCACAATTTTCTAGATTTGTCACTTTTCTCGGGCGCCGATCATACACAACAGAGAGAAGGAAAGAAGAAACAAAGAAGAAGGAAAGAAGAGACAAAGACAAAGGAGAAGGAAAGAAGAGACAAAGACAAAGGAGAAGGAAAGAAGAGACAAAGACAAAGAAGGAAAGAAGAGACAAAGACAAAGAAGGAAAGAAAGAG